TTTTTCTATGCATATTCATCTGGTCATATACTACATACCATTTTAAAACTTGATTTTTTTTATTTTGCATATATATTACTCAATAATACTTCTGGAAATCATTTTTTTGTTTTGGGAGTATAGAGATTTGAACTTAGGGCCTCATGCTTGCTAGGCAGGCAATCTACTACCCAGCCCTTTTTAACTTTAGATATTTTTCAAACAGGGCCTCGTGTTTTTGCCCAGAAAAGTATGGGACCACAGTCCTCCTACCTACAGCCTCCTGCATAGCTGGGATTTCAGAGTACAGCACCATGCCCACCTTATTTAATGAAGGGGGTCTCACTAACTTTTTGTCTGGGCTGGCCTTGAAAAGCGATCCTTCCACTCTCTACCTCTCCAGTATAGGAAGCATTCTTAATAGTTGCAGAGTATCTCATTATATACATGTGTCATAAACATGTTTAACCAACTCCTTGTTTTTGGATATTTAAGTTCCCACATTTTACTATTGCAGACCATGCTGTGGCGAGCTTCCTTATTTACACATCTTTACCCATGTGTTCAATGATATTCATAGAATGGATTCTGATGATGACAGCTGCTGAATTTAAAATATACTCCATTTTAAGGATGGAAATATGGATTTTTAGGTGTCAAAAGGTTACTTTTATATAATCTTTGTAATGTTAGCTTTTAGAGACTTAATAAACTTAATAAACTCTTTCTTATTATGTCTTCATATGCATGTACTTGACAACTGACAAACCCCAAAGCACGTTGTTTTAAAAGGTTTTCAAATATTTAAATGCTTTAAATTGTGGTGCTCTTTAATATTAATTATTTTAATAAGTTATGCTGATCAGTTTCCTCATTATTTTCTAAGCCTAGATGCTCTGTTTGGCCGGATGGTATGAGGCAGTACCTTGCTGCAGGCAAGATGTCATTGGACCATACACTAATCTCCCCCCCCCTTGATTTTGCCATTTCTAGGCTGATTATATAAATAATAAGATGTTGTCTTTTTAATTAAACAAAAATGACTCATTATAGGTGCTTTTTAGCCATCTGAACTTATCTCCTAAATAGGTCTCACATTATCTATCTCCAAATGAGACATAGGAGTGTTCAGACAAGACCATGCTAGAAGAATATTTAAAGCAAGGGGCTAAGAGTCTTTTCCAGTTTTGCAGGGAATAGGATAGAAGAGCAGCGCTATCCAATTGTGGGGCGAGGAGACACAGGAGGCCAGGAGAGAGGCCATGCTTACAGAGTTTGTCAACTTGATGACATTATGGTTTTCATGATAAAGTCTGCAATAACTTTTATCTTTTTGTATTTAATTTAATGGTTTTGGAATCTGGAGAAGCCAGCAGTACCTTATTTATCATATAGCAAACATCAGTCTTTTCTGGCACAGTTTTTTGGGGGTTTTTTGCTAACTAAAATAAAGTATGAAATTAAAAATAGGTCAGAAGGCTTTCCATTCCAGTTTCATTGGTTTAAGTAGGACGATAAGGAGGGCAGGCAAAACATTAGTTTCTTTTAAGTGATATTATGGAGAAAATAATCTATTAATGAGCAAAAGAGATCAGAGCACGGTAAGAATACCAAAGATTGTCTTCTATGAAATGAGTTCTTTCTGAAGCATCAGAGAAGCATTGTTGTCAAAAGAATCTCAAGTTACTTACAAATTGCCTTTGCTTGAAGAAAGTGAGAATGTTACTTATTTGAAATATTTTCATTTGTCTTTGTGTAAGGCTGTGGTTGAAGAGATGAGTATATGTATCACTAAATCATTCATTTATTCCTAAGACAATAAACTTAAATACTGGGAGAATTTTCTTCTCAAAAGGAATTTTTTCTCTTAAAAAAAAAAATCTGAACAAAAATAATGGTACTTTGGCCAGGTGCCAGTGGCTCACTTCTGTAATCCTAACTACTCAGGAAGCAGAGATCAAGAGAATCAGAATTCGAAGCCAACACTGGCAAATAGTTTGAGAGATCCAGTCTTGCCAAAAAACCCATTACAAAAAGAGCTGGTGGAGTGTCTCAGGGTGAAGGCCCTGAGTTCAAACCCCAGTACCACAAAATCATAATAATAAAATAATTATTATAATAATAATAATAATAATGGTACTTCTAGCGTATGTTTGGAAGGTTCTGGCTAGTCAATAAGAGTGGGTGCCAGACAGGTGCCAGGGGTTTACACCTGTAATCCTAGCTACTTAAGAGGCAGAGATCAGGAGGATTGCAGTTTGAAGCCAGCCCAAGGAAAGAGTTCATTAGACCTATCTTGAAAAAAACCCAACACAAAAAGGGCAGGTGGAGTGGCTTAAGGCCCTGAGTTCAAACCCCATACCACAAAAAAAATAAATAAAAGTAGATGCCAAGGGCTGGTGGAGTGGCTGGTAGAGCGCCTACCTAGCAAGCATGAGGCCCTCAATTCAAACCCCAATCCCATATACACAAGAAAAGAGTGAATGCCAAATATATACTCAGACATATTACAGCTTTTTCAAAAAGAATTTTTTTCTGAGTAAAAAAAGAAGCTAAACCAAAATGATAGCTCCTCCTTATCTGCCTGTGCTTAATTATAAGAGTAGATAATGTAAGTCCTGAGGCATTGCTGCCCCATGTGCTGTGGTTTGGATGTGTTTGAGTATGTCTGTCCCCAAAGGTTCACGTGCTGGAATCTTGATCCTTAGTGTGGCAGTGTAAATATGGTGGAACCTTAAAAAAGTAGCTAGGTCATAGGGACACTGCTCTCAGAAGGGATTAATGCTGGACTTGCAGGGTAAGTTAGTTCTCATAGGGTTATTGTAAACACAGTGAGCCTGGACCGCCAGCCTCTGGCCCTCTTGCACACACTCTGATTGTGATGTCACAGCCACGTTGTGATAGAACCAGAAGGGCCTCTCCAGAGCCAAGCACATGCTGCTGCCATGCTCTTGGATCTCCAGAATTATAGCTAAATAAACCTCTTTTTATTTATGAAGTTCCCAGCCTTCAGTATTTTGTTACAGCAGCATGAAACAGGCTAAGACACTGTGGCTATGTGACTGAAGTGACATTACAGGAACGCAATTGAAATTCTAGGAGAGTTATTTCTCCCTTCTCCTCTCTTATATGACAGAGTCTGAGTTTCACTGAACACACTGAAGTCCTTCATGGCCTTGAATTATTAGGGAGGCCTTTTTGTTTGTTTGTTTTTACCAGTAACAAACTCCTCACCATTACCCTCAAAATAAAAAAATTATAACAAGAATCAGGGTGGGCAGAGATGAACTTCTGAGTGATTTTGAGTGATGCAGCACACTTAAACCTATATTCACATGATTTTATAGCTTTCAAATGCGCTGAACACATAACTTTCTGTCACAGCAAGCAGGATGGAGAGCCTCCTCTTGTGTACCAGCCAGTGTCACAAGGCTCTTAAAACACAGCTGAGACCTTTTGGCTAGTTACTTATTGTCAGAACCACAACACCAAAATGATTGTTTTCTTTTGTTTGTTCATTTGTTTGTTTCTTGAGACAGGATCTCACTAGGTAGCCCAGACTAATCTCAAGTTTGTGATCCTCCTGCCTCAGCCTCCTGAGTGTTGGGATTACAGACATGCATCACTACACCTTGCTTGAAATGACAAAATCGGAGTGATGAGAAGAATAAACGCAGTAGTAAAGTTCCACGGAAGGACCAGGCAGATTGGAAATTTGGTTACATGTGCCATCTAGACATTTCTGGCCAACGTCATGCCTTCCATGTTTTCTGCCACATAAATTGGGGATTAAATTATGTCCTTCAGCTCACGATTAGGTGAACATGGAATTTTTTCTGAACAAGACATGCACCTGACTACAGGTATCATGAGGCCACTTCTGAAGGTTGTTTACTACTTTAAGGCAACTCCACTATGAAATATATCTTTGCCAGCTACTCGCTTACTACTTTGTAGATTCTTAGAAAAAAAAACTTATTTCAGTAACATGAATAACTCACAATGATGGATTTTCTAACATTTCTACAAAGTAAAGAAAGAAAATGAATCTTAACTTTTCAGAATCAGTCCAAAATAGTATTGCACACTCAACATTTCTTTGAGACTTAGGTTTTAATTTTAAAACTCTCCTTACTGTTTTTATATAAAATAATAATATCTCTCGCCTCAAATTTATTTTTCACACAGTTTTACTCCCTGGATTTTCCAGAAATGTAGCTACTTTTAAATCAAAGGAAGATGGTATTTTGTTTTGTTCAAAATTTTTCTGTTCCAGGAAATCATGTGAATTGACCACTAAGCCACTTGAGCCTTTGTATGTACATGTTTTTAAAAAATCTTTGGCATTCTATAATTGTCATTGCTGTGTGGAGGGTGAGTCTACTCATAGGACTGTTCCCATATGTCTTCTGGTACAGGACAGCATATTATTTATTATGAATTATCTTATTTTAATGTCCTATTCATGGCATTAAAAATATCTTGGTAGATAGGCAGGTGATAGTAGGTGTGGGTTTTATTTCAGGAGAGCAAAGGAAAATGCACAATGGTAGATGTTTTCAAAAGGTAGCAATAGATGTGCTGGAGGGGATGAGGGCTGCACAACAGTGGCCTGGTTGGTTGAGAATATAGTAGTGCTGCCTCCTTTGCACAGTTGCATGCTGACCTCTGCAGAGTTTCTTTACAAAAATATGATTTAATGTAAAGACCTTGACAGAATTAGCAAAGTGATTGAGACAAATACACTTTGGAGTCAGACAGACTTTAATTCCCATCTTGGCTTTGATACTTAACAGCTATATGACCTTGGGCAGTTTATTTGCCCTCTGGTAGAGTCCCTTGCCTCAATTGTAAAAGAAAATAACTTGTGAAACTCCTTCCACAAGGTTATTACTGCTTTTATTCTCCTCATCACCCTTAATGTAAAGAGTCTTATGACAGAGTTCTCTAATTGTCTTCAGTGTTCAGGTCCCCAACAAAGATTATGCCTTCTAAAAGCTCTTCTGTTTCCTTCCAGATAGTGGGAGTCAGTTCATTCAAACCATTTCACTCTTCACTTTGACTCAAGCAAACATGGAGCTAAGAACTCATGCTTAATTGCCTCAAGTAAGGCTTTTTACTATCATTTGCTCCAGTTCTATTCCCTTCTCCCTTCCCCCTAACTACTAAATTTTGGCTTTTCCTCTGGTGTTGTTAGTTGTTGGTCTTATGTTTTTGTTGACTTTATTGTAAATTGTTTCAAATAATTTTGAAGGTAGGTGGAAACTTGATAAGTAAAATAAAAAAGATATAATAAGGCTCCATTTTCTTTTTTCATTAATTTTTATTAGCATATATTCATTGTACAGGGGGATTCATTGTGACAATTCCAAATATGCTTATATTATACATTGGTTAGATCACCCCCATCATGTCTCCCCCTTGACCCCCTTCCCCGCCCCACTTAAAACTATTGCAAGAAGTTTCTTTGCTCTATTTCATATAAGTATATGAAGTCCATCAGTCATATTCCCTTACCTTAATCTCCTTGGTTCACCCTCCCCTCTCCCACAAGTGCCACCCCTCACGCACACTGTACCTTTTTTATAGTCCTGTCTTTCATTACTAATATCTAAGTTGATGTTCAAAGGAGTTTCTCACTGTATCCCCACTGTGAGTATACCTTACTTTGGATTGTTCAGCCCCTTCCATTACTCTCCCTTACCCCTTTACCTCCCCCATTTTTCAGCAGCTTTCAATACATATCCTTATATCCTCTACCTTCACAGATGTTATGTTTTATGATACTGTTGATGCTCTATCATTCTTTTCTTTTCCCTCCTTCTCCGAGTTGCATAGAGTAGTTCCACTGTTACAAACATGTTCTACATATGAGTTTGTATATGATGATGTTTGTTTTTGTGTATATGTTTATCTTTTGGATCCATTTTCCATGTATGAGGGAAAACGTGGCCTTTGTCTTTCTGAGCCTGGCTTACTTCACTTAACATGATGTCCTCTAATCGCATCCATTTACCTTCAAACCATATGTTGTCATAAATTCCTTATGGCTGAGTAAAACTCCATTGTAGTGAGTATGTGTGTATCACATTTTCTTGATCCATTTATCAGTTGTAGGGCATCTAGGTTGTTTCCATAGCTTGGCTATTGTGAATAGTACTGCAATGAACCTCAATGTACAGGTGTCTCCATTGTATCCTGACTTACATTCCTTTGGATGTATGCCCAGGAAGGCTTCATTTTCTTTATGGTATTTTATAATATCTATTTCTATAGGTGGCAAAGTTCCTTTTTTCTCCTCAGTTTATACTTCCTATTCATGATAGCATTTGACCTTTATTGTATCATTTTCTTGGGAAAATATGACAATACTAAGATAGTATTTTACTAAAAATACGCATCTGTAGTGTTCATTCAATGTAAATTATTTCTATTTTTGTGGCAAAAATGTGAAAAATAATGCACATTACTGTATCTCACTGTTATCATAAAACAGCAATTCTCAAGATTTTTGAACTCAGGACCCCTTTGCACTTTTAAAAATTATTGAGGACCTAAGTTTTTGTTAGATGAGTTATATCAGCTTCAGTATTTATCATATTAAAAAATTAAAATGGAAACTTAAAAAATATTTACTTATGAGCTCATTTAAAGATAACATTATTAAACCCCTATATTTTAACATATTTTTGTGAAAAAACATTTTTCAAAACAATGACAGTAGCACATTTTAGTGAGAAGAGTGGCATTGTTTTTGCAAACCTCTTTAATGTCTGTCTTGATGACAGACAGTTGAACTGTCATATCTGCTTCACCATTTAGTCTGTTGCTATATCATAGACCAAATAGCCTCATGAGATATGACAGTGAAAAGGACAAATATGTATTATTATTATTATTATTATTGAAACAGTTTGCACCTTATGGATTCCCTGAAAGGGTTTTTGGGGATGATCAAAGTATGACCCAGGGTCACACTTAAAAAACTTTTGCTATGGAACATAATCAGTGAAAATAGCAACACTTTCTTTTACGTTATCTTAATTTTCTTTAAGTAATAGAAATAATGGTTGTGAGCAGCCTTTAAGCCTTGATGTTTCAAGAAGGACGTGCTATGTATATCGGCCCTTTCAGTATGATGGAATCTGTTACAGTGTGAATTTTCTAGCTCCCTGCATTAGTCAGGTTTTCTGATTCTCTTTCTGTGAAATGGAAATGACATTTTACCCACATTTTAATTTTTTAGTAATTTCAATGAGCTACTAAGTTTTTAAAAAATGTGCCTCTTAAGCCTTCTGCCAAAGTTCATAGTTTGACAATAAGATCAAACTATAGTTGACAAGAATGTTTAGATTTTTCCTTCAAGATCTGGCTAGTGTACGTTGAAAATTGCTAGTTATATATGGGATAGATGCTGTATTTTAATAATAGATTTTTTTTAAATATATGAATTGAACAAAGATGATCTTTCACTTGTGGCATATAAGAAGGCAGCTTTTTATGCTTCAATTTGTACTGGTAAAGTTTGTTTTATTAAACCATTATTTTTACTTCTATGTGTTGCTTGCTATATCATCTTTATACAATTCAATAATGAAATAGAGCAAATTGATTTCTCTTATTCCTGCCGTGAGATAATGAAAAGTAGATGGCTTGCCTAATTTACACAGTAATATTAGACTCAGAATGAGTTAAAACAGAAGAACGACATGTTAGACTTTTTCTTTATTTAGATAATAGAATGTATGCAGCCTTTAAGCCTTGGTGTTTCTATCAGGATACTCTAAGGAAATCAGATCTTTCAGTGTGATGAAATCTCTATGACAGTGTTATTTTGCTAGTTCTAGGAATTGCTTGGGTTTTCTGTTTCTCCTATGAAAGAGCAATGTCAAACTTGTCTCAAGTATTTCAACAGAAGAGAATGGAGGCTGCCAATGTACAATGTACAACTTGCCCAACAATGGTATTAGAGTTAGGAGTAGGATATTGTGAAGGCAGGAGTGAGAAACAGTTATTTGCTTATGAGGTACATCCCCAAATGAGTGGTAGTAAAATAAGCAAAGACAAGAAGTACAGACTACTACCTCACAGGCCAGCAGTATGCCTTGCTGGGTCCTGTGAGTCACCTTTATGTCACAGTAGCATAGTTTTCATAGAAGATCGGATTACTCCTTCTCCTAAAACAATTGATTGCCTATTTCATTCTTTCCCAAGAGTTTTCAGAGATTAAGTAAAATAGGCTTTCGAGATTCCACTACCACGACCCCACCACCCCTTCCCTTGTACAGTGGAAGCTTTTCCACTGTACCTTGATGTGTGGTTGTTCCAGCTTTGCTTGAATATTTCCATTGATAGAAACCTCACGATTTCTAAGGCAAACTGTTGTGGTTTTGGACAGTTCTAATTATCAGAAAAGTTTTTTTCCCCCTATTTAACCTGAGACCAACAAATACTGTGTTGCACAATAGACTACTTCAAAAGTTTGAAGTCTTTCCTCGTGTATTTACATGGACCTGCTCGTCTCCAGATTCAACTCTATTCTTTACATGAAGATTTCATCAACCCTTTTCCTACCCTTATTCTCGCATGTCATCCTCCTTCAGTTTTAACTTTCCTTCTTAAAAGTATGATATTCAGAAGGATACAGCATACTACTTGTGATGCTGAGTGACATCATAGGGGTGTGAGACCCTTTGCTGAGTTATTGCCATTATCTGCTGTGGAGTTGATGATCTCTGCTTTTTTGGGAGTTGTATCACATGGACTTATACTAAGCTTTCTATTAATGGAAAATGTGGTTTAGTCATATTGACTTCTATGAAGATATATTTTTTCTTTTCCTGCATTTATACAATTAGACATGCTCATTAAAAACTCACTCTAAGCCAGTGTGATGGCACATAGCTATAATCCCAGCACTAAGGAGGCTAAGGCTAGAGGATATAGAGTGTGAGGCCAGCCCTGGCTACACAGTGAGATCCTGTCTCAAAACAAAAAAGCAAAACAGAATATAAAACTCTCAATCCATTAAAGACCAAAGGGAAGGTGCTGTTTCTTGCTTTCCATTCTTGGCAGGCAAAGTAATTATTCAGATGTAACTTTAAATGTACATAAAGGTTTCAAGAATAGTTCAAAAGATTCCCATATATTGTTTGCTCTATCATTCTTCAGATAGATACATAGTTTAATATAGGTTAGATACAGATATAAATAGTTACATATTAATTTTTTCTGGGAAGTTAGTAAATTTCAAACATACTTCCTTTTTAAATATTCCCGTTGCTTTTACAAAGAGCAGGGATAGTTTCATAAAAGGGCATGGTGTACTTATGAAATCAGGAAATTTAATATTGATATGATACTACTGTATAATCCATGATCCATATTCAGAGCTCACCAATTATCCCAAAAAAAGCCCATTATGGTTTTTGAGGGGTCAGAGAGATCCCAGGTGCAGGACTCAGGCCAGGATCATGCATTTCATTCAGGTGTCTGCTGATTTCTCCTCCTGAGAAGAGATGTTCTCATTCTTCAAAAGCTGGACATGGGTTGGTAGAGTGGCTCAAGTGGTGGAGCACCTGCCTAGCAAGTGTAAGGTCAAACCCCAGTACCACAAAAAAAAAAAAAAGAAGAAGAAGAAGGAGGAGGAGGAGGAGGAAAGAAGAAGAAGAAGGAAGAAGTATGAGGAGGAGGAGGAGTCAAACTAGGAGATGGGTACAATATTGGGACCTAAGGGAAAACACTGTCTCTGTGGATGAAAGAAGACACTTGTGAGACCTCCTGCAGAGGAAGTTTATATTCTGTTCTTTAAAGGTGGCCAAATCACTCATCCGTCAAACTGCCTCACAGTCAGAGAACTAGGAAAAATGTGGAAATAGTGAAAGAAACAGGCAAGGCATGTGAGGGTAGAAGAAGAGAGAGTTTAAATCATTTGCACTGTAACTTCAGAGATACGTTCAATCTCAGCCAGTTGGATACACAGGTTTGATCTGTGGAAAGAGGTGAGACTCCTGAATCTAAGTAGTTTCCCTAGGGTCTATGTTGACTAATTGTTTCCAGGCTCACACACTATTTACCTCTATTTTTCACCTATTTACCAACAGATG